GAAACGGTTGCCTTTAAATAAAAGTGCAGTTAAACACAAAGCCTTGAAAATATTTGATTATTTAAAACAAATGGGACAGTCGTTGGCTGATGAAACCAGTGTTAAATTCGTGGCTAGTAATGACTGGTTTGAAAAATTCAAAAAACGCCATTCAAATGGCAAGTTTTTCTCTTTTTAGAACCGAATCCCAGTTTTTGTATTAAGTTGGTGTCTCTTATAACGCGATTTCCCACAATGCGGTATTTTCAAGGAACGTATCTACCGCATTGTAGGAGGCCTACCTGTACTTGATCCAGCCCAAGGAGAAGACACAGGTTGGAAGACATTTCAGCGGCTCCGAATCTTCCAAGAAGCAACGATCGTCGCCTACAACTCTCCATTACGACTGAGAGGTATTATGTATGTTAGGGCTAGAACTTTGTGAACTCTCCCTCGAAGTAGAAATTAGGCACGCGACAAAACTTAGAAATTATTCGCTGTCCTTGTGAAAATAGTCAATAGAATAATCGCATTTAACAGCATAGCGATCTGTATATCATAGGGTTAGTTATAGTTAAACTTTTATTTTGTTATATGTTAAACCTGTCTCCCGTCACTTCGAAAAACGGACACCTCTCGACTTGCTCACGCACTCCCCACTCGATTCTGCCCTCCTATAAAGTTTTAGCCATCCGACGACACCAAGGTCAGGTTTTAACAACCTGTGCCGATTAAGTGGCATTTAGGGAACAGCTCCTATGCCCCCGGCTTATACCACACTATAAATAAATAGAAAATTGTATCATAAAATGTAAAAAAAAAAAAATACTTTACAAAAAATATTGCATATATGGTTACTGCTATTTGATATAAATTAACACAAAAAGTAAAAATTTCTCAGTTACAAATAATGATTCCACATTTTAACTACAAATACATTATGCATTCAAGGAATTAAAATAATTTCACATTTAAAATGCAAAACCTTATAAATCAAATTAATTTAGTTTTAAATTTTTGACATTAATGGCTTGCTTTCTATGGCTGTCTTGAAAATATAGCAATTAAAGAATCGAACAAATCAGCATTTAAATACAGTAGCTTTTCATTAACATCAATCCATGTGAGAGTCTGTAACAGTTGGCAGTAGCTGATAGTTGACCTTAATAAGCATTGTTCAATTTTGGCGTCAAATAAAGTTAAAATGCATAGATATGGTAATATTAAACTATACATTTTATTGTAAGATTGCAATTTCTATTATTAATTTTCTTTAATTTTGTACTTTTCATCCAGTTGAGAATATGAAACATCAAAATCATCAATTATCATTTGCTTGATATCCATAGAAATACTTATTAATTTAGGTTATATGGGGGTTACCTGTATTTATTAATTACAGCATTTAAATTTAAAACCAAGTATACATTTAATAATTAGAATAACAATATTATAGTACAGTTTATTNGGGATGGTACCAATTCTCAAACCGTGTTAGAGCGAATCCATGCTATAGAAGTGCCGTGTTATATGGGGGTTACCTGTATTTATTAATTACAGCATTTAAATTTAAAACCAAGTATACATTTAATAATTAGAATAACAATATTATAGTACAGTTTATTGCATTTATCACTAGCATTTTATTCAACATTGGTATCTATCATTATTCATTGTTTTATTCTTCTTGTTCTTCATTACCAGTATAGTAATTTAAATTTGTCAAATCTTTGCGAATTTGTTCCAAAAGTAATTTTATCCCTGTTCTATTTCTTTACATTTTAAGCATACAATAGTGTTACCACCCATCTGGTTTTTGCCCGGACAGTCTGTGAATCGACTCACTGTCCGGGTGAACTATTAATTCTGTCTGGGAATATCATGCGCAACCTGTAGACATTTTTTTTTATTTCGCTCGTACGATTCGTATTCATACACGTCTCCAATATCCAATAGAGCTAAGTCATCTGTGGTTGTTTTTTCTTAATTTAGTTACTTATGCTACTCCTACCCAAGTCTCCCTAGTCCCTGACTGTAACTGATTTTAGAACTGGCATGCACTGCACATTATTCTTCGCATTGCAAAATGACATTGCGCATGTGTCAGGAACTTCTGTTCGAACAAACCTCACCTGCCGTCCGAGTCAGCGATTTTGAAAAGGTGGCAACACTAGCATACAATCATATCATTCTTGCTTACATCAACTGCAATACATATATTGTATTGCAAAAATGAAGCTTTCTTCTGTTCTTCCAAAACTTTAGACCATCCCTGCATAATCGCTGCATAATCCACCTTTTCCTTAGAGGGGTCCACTCTTCTGCTTGCCATACATTTTTGGTTAACTTTTTGCATCCACTGAAAATATGAAGTTTTAAAACTTTTATTCCAAGACAGTACATTTTGTGCATCCTCTTTGGTACAACAGTGTCAATTTTCAACTATGTATGCTGTTCTTTTACTGTTGACATAATATGACATCTGTAGCTATTCAAAGTGAGCAATCATCTGTTAAAGCTGAATTTTCCAATCATATGAAGCAGTTTATGAAAAGGTCTCCATTCATTTAGCCATTGTTCAAGTAACTGATGAATAACTGAGGAAAAATTTTTCCAATTCTGGTAAGGCTTAGCACCACTTCAAAACAACAAATGGCTTCATTTTCTTACCAGGATTATTGAGAAAGAAAAGCTGGAGATTTTTCCCCAGTTTCTATATCTCAACAATCAGGGTCAGCTGGTGGGCAGTGCGAATGGTGCAACCACATAAGGCCCCATGATCCTGCATGATCCAACTCTTTCAAAAATTAATCATTTCATTATTTGCTAAGTTAATTAACTTTCTCTAACCTATGGATGGTATGTTTACCATTAAATTATTATCAAATCAATCAAACAAACTTTATTAGCAAAAAGGGAGTTTCTCTGTTGCAGGGGATAATACATATTTTAAGTAAAAATTTACAAAGGTACTGTAACAGCTTACAAATAATCAAATTTATACACATAGTCACAGTAGATACCGTCTAATCCTGTTATAGCATAAACAAAGAATACAATTTTATCGGAAGTGATAATACAGATAAAATTGACTTTACTGTAATTTAATGTTGAAATATATTGAGTAGGTCTTTTCAGTTTTTTATTATTTCTATTATTTTGATTAAATAGTTATATAGATTATAAAGGTCTTTTTTATTTAGGTTATTTAAGTTATTTCTGAAATCAAGAAATGGTCTACATTGAAGAATACATGTGATAATGTATGAGTCTCGTGTATTTGCAAGGTTTTGACAATTTTGTAGTAGATATTGTGTCGAGAAACCATTGGATTTGCACCAGAAGCATTGGTTGTTTGAAAATAAGTGTTACTAATGAAAAGTGAATATTTATTACGATGTAATTGGGCTATTAGTGTTTTCACATTAAGATTTATAGGTTTAATCATGTACGATTGGGAAGATTGTAGTTTTTGGATATCTATATACCAAGGATGGTAATTACTTCGACTTAGGCTGACTTGATCTTTGTTTATACATTGAGAAATTGCAGATTCCAATAACAATGTGTAGCTTATATTTCCAGTCCTGAAGATTATCTTTAAATAGCAGATCAGACACTCCAAAAGAATTTAGTATTTTGTTGAATTTATTTTGCCAGAGATGCTCTGATTTTGGTTTTTTACAATATTTAGATATTTCCAGGTGTAAGAAGGTAATGTTGTCATCACTTTTGAATTTTAGTCGATAAAAAAATTTAATTATTCGTTTTGAGAAAGGTTAAGACCATGTGAAATTAGTTTCATGGTGTATGGCATAACCAGGGATCGTTCTCTCCAAGTGAAGAAGTTTGCAGAGGAAGTAGATATGAAAGCTTTCTAGTTTATATAGATAGTCTATGCCTCCGATTGAACTTGCATAATAAATGATTGGGTTGATTATCAAATTGTAAAGTTTTAAGTGAATAAACAAGTTTGAAGTTTTTAAAGTAGAGCACAAAAACAGCAAATTGTGGATGACTGATTTTACTTTGTTGTTCAAAGTGGATATGTGTGCTTTAAATGTAAGATTCCAGTTGAATGTTATTCCCTGGAAGTTTACTTCATTTACTATCTGCAGAAGATTTTTTCAAAGTATATCATGAATTCTTTTTCCGAAATTTTACAATTATTGCGAAAAATAGTTTTCGAATAACTGTAAAATTTTGAAAAATAGCAGATTTCGATACTGTCAGTAGGTTCTTGGAAAAGATGGTCTATTTCTAGCAAATAGAAATTGAATAAATAGGGTAAAAGGAGGTCATTAGATCATTGTAAGTATCACAGAGTTCCAAGAATCTGGGTATTTATTTGCATTATACATTGAGTTGAATAAGTGGAATAGTTTTATTTTAGTGAGATATGGGAGTGTCTTCAGGAAATTGGTAGGGATACAGTCACTTCTAGAGGTTGTATTGCTTCAAATTTTGCTTATAGTATCTTCTAATTCTTTAAATGTAAGTTTAGAGTCTAAGTATTCATTGTTAAAGTCAGTATTAGATATTAGGGGTGGAATTGGTTGAACATCAGGAAATCACTGGTAGAAGTTTTTCCATGTTTCAAAGTTTATTATTGATGTATTTTCACTTTGATCCATTTTAAAACAGAATTTTCATATTGTAGACCAAAATGATTTACCATCCTTGCTGTGGTTTATCAAAATAGATTCAAGGTTGCCAAAATAGTTTTTCTTTTTGGCCTTCAATAAATTATTATAGATCTGTTTGTCCTTTCTATAATTAATAATATTTAAGTTGTTTGAATTTTTTCGAAATAGTTTTAAGTTGGTTTGTTTTATCTTTTTCATCTTATAACAGTTCATGGTTTCTTGAATTTATTTTGAATGGTTTTTTTTATGTATTTGACTTAAATATGTAAATCATAAGACTATAGATTTCCTCTCTGTTACGGTCAGTCTATTGTTTATTATATTGCCAGTTTAGTATTAAAATTAATTAGCAAAATTATTAAACTTTATAAATACCTCAACAAATTCTTTGTTGCTAACATTTTTCAATGCCGAAATCCAATCTTCCATTTCTTTTCGAGATTCTGCACAAAGTATCAAACGACGAAAAGGAGTAATCAACTATAGAAATAAATAGAATAATTATTTTTGTTATAACTGTTGGAGTGAAAGATATCAGAAAGAAATAATGAACATTTAATTATTACAGTTCTGTTTAACATTAACTGATAAAACCAATAAGCTTTAGATTTGGTTCAGTAAAATAATTTACATTTCTTTAAAATAGTAATTAATAATTAAAATAAAATTAATTAATCATTTACCTGAAAGCTATGATTCACATTTTTTGTACTACATTCAGCAATGCTTAAATCTGTCAAATCAATTTCTTCAAAAATCACAGACTAAAATTTAAATGTAAAATTATTTATTTATTTATTTACATTTATCAAATACAGTGGGTGATCGGTTAACGAACATAATCTGTTCCAAGACTTTGTTCGTTATCCGAATTGTTCATTAACCGATTACCGATTTCCCATAGGTTTTTATGGGAATTTGATTAATTCGTACTGGAGACGCCAAAAAATGAAAAATATATACATTTTTACCACGTTTAATTACATGTAATAATAAAAATACATATATATGCAGTCTTGCATTTTTATTAATCATGTTTTTCCGTTTGTGGGGGTTAAAGAATTTGTCCAATGTCGATTGCTTTTCTCTTCTCTTCAGGATTTTTCGGAAGTAATTAATAGTATTATAATTGTACAGATCCTCAACCCCATTAACCTTATTCTGGTTTTGATGCCACTTGTATGATATGACATCCTCTCACTTCTTGAAAAGATCTTTAGTAGCAGATTTCGACATTGGTCCTCTTTCGTCTTCCTCTTTTTCAAAAGAAAACACATCTCGCCGAATTTCTTGGTGTTGTTCATTTGAGAGTTCTCGGGGTTCTGTTGTCAGATCAGTTTCAGGTTCCATTATGAGTTCTAAAATGCTCTTTATTTCTCAGATGTGATTTTCATTACTCCATTAGCAGCTCGAGACTTTTTGATATATCTTTCATAGCTAAGATTGTGCCTACTGTAGACCTGTTCGAGTCATACTGCCTAGCAACATCAGGCATCTTCCGCCCACTTTCTACCTTGGCTATTATCTCTTACTTGGTTTCTATGGTAAGCACAGTTCTTGACACTCCTCTTTTTAGGCTCTATAATATTATCAGTTTCTTTTTTAAATAAAAAGTTCAGAAAAGCACTTACAAAAATTCAGAGAATAGAAATCAACTAGCCCAAAAAAATTATTTAAATGCAAGGCCCGGATAAAATTCAAAATTTGGTATTAAAACGTTAATGAATATCCTTTTACCTTTCGTAAATAAACCCTGACGCAAAATTTAACAAGTACCTGTCCGACAGTCTCGCGAAGACTATAAAAATTATTTGTCAGAAAGGTAAACAAAAAGCTGGAATTACAAGGGTGAGTTTCAAAATTCGAAGGAATACTATCCTATCAGTATCGAGTTGAGAGTTGATGTTACGTCTCCCACGCTCCGAAAGGTTTCGAATTGTTACCTGAAGACAAGGGAAAATCAATCGGTATTCGTTATTTTCCGTCACTTCTTTTTGTGTTTATTCAGTAAAGTATTCGTTATCCGAACATTTGTTTGTTGTCCGATCATAAAAATCTTTCTCAAAAGTGTTCGTTATCCGATTTGTTCGCTATCCGAACTGTTCGTTAACCGATCACCCACTGTATTGTATTTCTTTAAAGTATAACATATTGAAAGATTTTTTCTAATTAAAAGAATTAAACTTTATTTTTTTTTAACTATCATTAATGTTAACATGGCAGTTATACTATTATTCTCTTATAACATAATCCAAGAAATAAAGCAAAACAGTTAAGCTGCATATTTCTTTTCTATACTTTGACTAAAAATAAAAAAGTAAATTTTATCATTACTATTTGATTTAAATTACATTTTTATTTTTTAGAGTACAGATGGACAGTATTATTTAGGATTGTGTTTTGAAAATGGATGGGGAACTAATATTGATAATCATCAAGCAGCAAAACTCTTTTCTTCAGCAGCAGCATCTGGTCATTTAGAAGCTATATTTTCAATAGCAAGTTACTATGAAAAAGGCCTAGGAGGTATGTCTTTTTGTTAACTAAATAGATACAGATTATTTCTTGGTTGGGCAATGCACATTACTCAGTTGGGGCTCTGAAAGATTTTTTAAATTTGAAAGTCCCTTTTTGGTAGTGCTTGGTGACCTTATCAAAGATTCATCAATAATTCATTCCCTTCACTAAGTAAATAGACTGTTCCTTGCTACTACACATTTTTACAGCCCAGCCAAGATTTGGGAAATTAAGTAAATTTTAAAATTTGTCTGATATAGTTTGAATTAGTTTATATGCATTTAGAAAACTCTAAAATACATTACATTACTATAATGTATTTTAAATTTTTTATTATTTAAATGAATATAAAACTGCTTACTTTTTGGTTTAACATATATTCTTTGTTAATTTTTTTAGAAGTAAGTAAAAGTAAATGTATAAGAGGAATAAAATAAATAAATACAGTAAAACCTGTCTATGGCGATCACCCACGGTTCCTTCAAAAAGTGGTCTTTTAGACAGGTGGTCGTCCAATATAGGTGGTGCTGTAATACCGTATTTCTGTACGTATTTTGTGCACTTTTTTTTAGCCATTTCTACTAAGCAAAACTCGAGGTGAGCAAAAATAAGTGAATTTTTTCAACAGTAGGGCTGTATTGGTATTGTATTTTATTCTTATCGGATAACTTGATTTACAGGAGTCATTGTGATATTATAAGACAGATTTAATACCAATATTTTAAAGATTAAGACAATAGTCGCATTTTCTCGATTATAATGCACACTTTCTTTTCTCGGACTTAATTCAACTTAGTTGTTTTGATTTGCTCTTTGGTTACGTGTATTACGTCATCGATATACAAGCGCGTCATATCTCTACATCACTTTGGTTTTGGTATTCGTTAGTTTAATCTTATTTTAACTTTAAAAATACTGTATTTTTTAATATTTAATATTTTCTTAAGTACAATAAGAAAAATTATTAATTAATAATAAAACAATTTTATTATAT